TTAATTGTATAAAAGAAGCTCAAATTTGACTTGCTTGTAAAATAACTTTGTAATAACTTTGTCTTAGTTTAATAACTTTTTCATAAGTTAATTAGTTTTGACTAAATAAAACTAAATAAATAAAGTAGAAATATTTTATTTAAAACTTTTATCTTTAACCAAAATTATTTGCTAATACCAAAATCAACTTGTTGATCCACTATTCATTCTGATCCACACAAAACAAAAATAATTGTTATCACCAATTAAAACATGCTCTCCCAAATTTAATTGGTGACAATATAATCAAATTACTCTTAGTTATTATCTTTGCAAAAATTTGACTTATGCTAAAAAGGATAAGTTTATAAATGAAGGCACAATTCCATTCAATATTGTTATTTGTGATGGTGACTTTGGATCATTGTTGTGTTGTGCAGTTGATTCACTGGTGGTGATGACAATTTTGGATCATTGTTGTTGCTTTGTAGTTCACTCACTGGTGGTGGCAATTTTAAACTATTCATTGTTGTAGTTCAATGGTGGTGACAATGGTGATGTTGAAAGTTTACAACTGATAATGTGGGTTATATGTATAAATTGGGTTTTATAACAGGACTAGATTAAGGATTCCTGCAACCAAGATTGAATTTTTTTTTACATAGCAATGACTTGCAAAGAAATGCTAATCAAAAAGCTTTTACATTTATTTTTGTTGTTATTTTATTATTTACAAGAGGATTAGTATTGGATCCAAGAGAAGAAAATATCAATGATAATCCCAGTGAAGAAAAGATGAATATAAGATCTTAGAAAAAAATTATTTACCCATCACCTTAAAATGCTGTTATGGAGAACAATTATTTATTTGTAATTTATCACTTGGAAACAAAAAATTTATACTTGGATTAGTGCTAAATACAAATCAACAATTAATTAACTATAAATTGCTACCAACACCAATATGTTAAATATTTTTTAATTATAAAATTAACAGTCTATTTTCATACCTCCTTATTGACCTGCACACATGATTAGGACATTATCAAAACATTCTAGTATTATGTATACATATTTCTATATTTCTTTAGTCAAGACTATTAAGAGGCTAATAAAACTTTGGAAATTTCCACTGAAAATGATTGAATGGATTTTCTACTAGTGTGAAAACATGAACAAAGCACCCAACATGTTTAATATGAAATTTTCTTTTTTTATCTTTTGGTTTCCATATAATTGTCAATTTGCATTTTTCCTTTTGATTAAAATAAAATTTTGATCCCTGTAATTCATGACACAATGTTTGTTTTGTTACAGCATATCCCATATAAAAGATATATATAATATTTTTTAAAATTTAATAATAATAAAAAACCAAAATTACTGAGTGTCAAAGAGAAAAATCACAGGGTCAATATTTGGTTTATTAAAAAGAATTTTTTTTATGAGCCCAATTATTTGATAGAACACTGTTGAAATATGGTGAACGAGTTCTTAAAATATTTGAATGAGTTTTTGCCCAACAGATATCAACACATTGTAATCATATGCATCATCTAGTAAGGAGCCAAAGTTTTCTGATAAATTAAAAAAGACATTCACTGAATGAATTTTTCTCAAAAATAATATACGTGCAAAATTTTCCAGTTAGTCATTTGTGCCTTTCTCTTTCCAAGTGTAAACGCAATGTTGCCCTTAGTAATCCCCCAACGTGTTTCAACGTTGTTGAGTTCACATTGAAACTTAAGAGAAAAGGTGATTCTACTCCCATTACCTCTTGAGTTAAAGGCTTTTGGCTTTTAAAGTCATTTTAGGTTACTACAAATATGTCTTGACAAAAATTACTTGAGAAATATAGGATTGTACTGGTTTGATTTTGTTTCAGTTCCGAATAGGACTTTTTTTCGTAGAACTGAAATAATATAAATATAATAAAAATAAAAAATAGAAATAATTATTATTTATTACATTTTAAATTAATTTAAATCCTTTTAATGTTAAAATCGAACATCTGGCAAATAAATATTCAATCTATTTAGTCATTTATTTTAACATGATCTTACTTTATTTAATATTTATTATTGTTATTATTATTATTATTACAGCATATTTCGACATTATTTAATTTATATTGGTTGACAAAGTCTACAAAAGTCTACCAAGTCGACGAGGTATATGTTGAGTGAAAATGAAATCTATCTGAATTCCCCGCATGTGAAAATTAAATTGGCCAATCGAGATTTCAATCGAATATATTACACAAAGACCAGTAAGGTCCAAAAGATTAATACAACCTAAGAAATTTGGTTTATCAAGTTCAAATATATATTATTTTTGATTTAGCCATTTATTTGAAAATACATGTTCAAAATAAGGTGAAAAGCTCTTAAAACACTAGAGTGGGCTTTGAATTACTTAATAACTGGTTCAATGTTAACACATTATACGTAGCATTAGATTCATCTAATAAAAGCCAAAATTTATTGATAAACTTTATTTAAGAAAGATGTTATCAATTTTTTTAAAACTAAATTATAATTATTGATGTGATCTTTATAAAATTACATAGTATATAATGAAAAATTTAATATATAATTTAAAAATTAACTTGCACTTTGAATGCCTCAATTTCATTTGAATCAAAACTATTTGTATTGTTATTAAGTAAATTGAGCTGATTGTAGTTACGATTGCCACTGCTACAAAGAATATGATTATGATTCATACTTAAAGCACCACCACCAAAATTAAAACCCTCTGTATTAGAAATATTATTAATATAATTACTAATATTATTATTAACATAAAAAGCATGACTGTGGTTTTGTATACGACAAATGACTGGCTTTTTGATTTCATTAAAATTAAAAGAAAATAAAAAACTCTGAGAATCAGCATAATAGCCATAATGATTAATAAATCCAACTGAAGTGTATCCACCAATAATCTTGTTTGTTTCATTACATTTTGTAACTACAAGACAAGAGCCTTGATTTATACATTTATTATTAAATGTATTATTTTGAAAACCATCACGTGATGCCTTATATAAAAGAGTAAATGTGTATTTATTTTTAGGTGGTGTTGAATTGATGTTTTTTTCATTTCTGATCCAATTGATAATTATCTTTAATTGCCCTGGTTTTATCAAAGGAGAATCAATCTTAAAATTAGATCTTGACAGCAAATTAGGATATTTTGGGATACTAGATGTCATATGATATGATACAATGTCTTCATATAAATCAAATGGTATAATTGATTTATAAGGTCTAACTTTATGAAAAAAATCAGCTGAAGAAATTTGATAAAATCTAATTGATTTAACAAAGTTTGATAAATTCTTTTTCAAATTATCAAAATCATCTGCACTCCATGTTGTAACATCAGAGTTTAAATTAGTTTGATAAATACCCCATTCAATTAAACTAGTCCAAATGTCAGTTTCTTCCATGCTCAAATCATCTCGTTTTAATAAATCATGTAAAATGTTTTTTTCTATAGTTGGAAAGCTTGTTGAAGCAAAAAATGATTTGGGAGATTCACATATTAAACTTAAACAATATTCTTTCAGTTTCACACATTTGGGTAATAGATAGATGGCGTGTAAAAATTCAACATAATTTTCTTTAATCCAATTTGATTGATTTTTAATTAGATAATCCTCAACAAATTCATGCAACTCCTCTAATAATAATTCATCAGATGCCACCAAAACTCTAAGAAAGCATGATCCATCTACACTTTTCAGGTCAATCTTACCCATGTAAATATATCTAAATATTAATATATAATATGCATATAATTAATATGTATATATTAAGTATAAATATTACTAGAAATAAAATAATAAATCAAAATTACTTGAGTATTAAAGAGAAAACCACAGGGTCAATATTCGGTTTATTAAAAATAATTTTATCATTTTTTTTATGAGCCCAATTATTTGATAGAGCACTGTTGAAATATGGTGAACGAGCTCTTAAAATATTTGAATGAGCTTTGAATTCTTTAATATTTGGCTTTGTTCCAACAGATATCAACACATTATAGTCATATGCATCATCTAATAAAGAGCCGAGGTTTTCTGATAAATTATTAAAAAGAGACATTGTTGCGTTGTGTTTATTTTTTTTAAGAATGAATTTCTCGTTTTATATATTTTATGATGATCTTTTAAGATTTTCCAATCGCACAAACATGTCGTAATATACTGTGCATAATTAATACTACAAATATCTTTCAATGGTATAAAGCCAAAAAAATTAGTTAAGGTTAACCAGTTTCAACCTCTAAAGGCATTTGTGCCTTTCTCTTTTCCAAGTGTAAATGCAGTGAAGAAACCTTTAAATAGAGTAGAGAGCAGAATCGGAAAATTTTTGTCACCTTAGGCCAAAATTATTTAAACCGTCAATAAGAAATCCTTCAAATAAAATAATCCTTTCTGCTTTTTAAAACAAAAAAGTATAAGAGATACACAAATCGACAGTCCTTTTTTCTTTGATTTCCCAACAATACATTTAAATATGACTAAAATAATTATAATTAAAATAAGCATACTACTTGAGCAAACTACAGGATTAATATCTAGTTTATTAAGTTCAATGAACTCTTAAATATTTTTAGTAAGCTTTTGGCCCTTTATTAAATGAACTGAATTCAATATTTTTGGAACTTTATAATTTTTTTTTTTTGATTATAATAATTATTACTCGTACTTAAAATCACCATATCCAAAATTAAAAATACTATTTATCATAAAGAAAATAACAGTGACCTTTGTACATGACAAATGGTTGGATTTTTGATTTCATTAAAATAAAAACTCTGAGAATCATTATAATAACCATAACTATAATTGAATCCAACTGAAGTATATCCAGCAATAATCTTGTTTGTTTCATTACATTTGTAACTACAAGACAAGAGCCTTGACTTGCACATTTATTATTAAATATATTATTTTGAAAACCATCACATGATGCCTTGTATAAAGAGTAAATGCGAATTTATTTTTAGATGAAGTATAATTGTGTTTCTTTCATCTCTGATCCAATTGATAATTATTTTTAACTGTCTTGCTTGAGAAGAATCAATTTGAAAGTTACCATATGATATTGGAGGGTCGCATAATGTCGAGCAAAAGAAAATAATAAATTTTCGAAATGTATCTAGTCCACGAAAAGGAGAGTTATTATTTCCATTTTTGAATATAGCGTAATATAATATCGGTACAGAGAGATTTTTGAAGGCAACAAATACCCAATTGTGAAAAATTCGTCATAATGCAACGGGAATAATAAAAAACACATTTTTTGGAATGTAACTCTCTTTTAGGCATAGTTTTGGTTCATTGTTTTTTTTTAGTCATTATAAAATTTACCTATAAATAATAAAAAACCATTCATAATGACATTAATTATCTACTTGCCACAATATGATATGATACATAAGTCAAATGGTATAATTGATTTATAAGGTCTAACTTTAATAAAAAATCAGCTGAAGAAATTTGATAAAATCTAATCAACAAATTTTGATGAATTCTTTTCAAATTATCTGCACTCCACGTTGTAACATCAATAAAACTATTCCAGATGTCAAATTCTTTCATGTCCAAATCATCTTGCTTTGATATTAATAAAATATCTATAGCTAGATAGCTTTTCTAAACAAAAAATGCTCTAGAAGAATCACACATTGAACTTAAAACAATATTCCCTTCAGTTTCTTACTAAATGTTAAACGAAAAAATTTAATACTACAGGATAAATATTCAGTTTATCAAGTTTAATATATTAACAATATTTTTTTGAATTGTCCATTCATTTAAAAATACACGTTCGAAATAAAGTAAACAGACTAGAGTGAGCTTGAATTTTTTAATATCTGGTTCAATGTTAAACACATTATAGTCATTTAATAGAAAGTCAGAATTTACTTAAGAAAGACATTGTTGTGTTAATAAAATTAGCAAACTATTGAATGTGACTGCCAGCGCTATGATTTGAAACGAAGAAGGTAAAAAAAGGTCGCTGTTCTTCATATAATTCGAACAAAAAAGGGCTGTGCATATATATAAATGCATTACATAATAAACAACGATATTAATTTGCGATGTTGTAATTTGTATCTATTTTAATCATAATATTAACAAAGATAAAAAACACTCATTTCAAACAAAGAATAGTATTTTGTTCTTAGTATATTAATATTGGTAACTAAATATTTCCGATTGTGAAAACGAATTGGACGGCCTCCCAAAAACTATTTAGATCAACTATACTTATGAATTTGAAGTATCCATTAACTGAACATTTATGTCAAATACTTTTCTTTCAAAAATTTTTTTGTTTTTTGCTATTGACAATTTAATACACGTAATTTGATTTTTGCAAAGTTCGCATTAATATAATATTTGGTCGAGGTGGCATACATTAGAATTTAGCGCAAACTTTAAAAATAGAACCTTAAACACATGCAACTTTGACTTTTTGTGTGGCTAATACTTGAGATAATAATGGGGAAACAAACATCTTTATCAGTTGAGGGAGGAATGGCCTGTCATAACTCATAAGTTTTTCCAATTTTGAATATGTTTTGAGCTCCCAGGAAGCGTCTCTCTACCAACATGGCATATTAATTATTTGCGAATATTTATTAACATTGATACTGCATATTTTACCAATGCAATTTTTATCATTAAACAAAATTTGCGTCACGTTATAGCCAAAGTTTCTAGGATAAAAATCATTTTTAATATGACATGTAATAAGCAATTAACGATTACATTATAAAAAATTAAATAATGTAAAAAACATTTGATAAAATAATAGAGTTGGGATTATCTAACAAAGAAAAAGCAAATACAGTTGTTTGAAGGTAAAAATTAATATTATTTCTAATTTTACTCAAATTATTTTTTAAAATCGTGACTAAAAATATTGCACTTTTGATTCTTGACAATGATCTTTTAAAAATTTAATATAATAATAATAATAATAGTAGTAGTAAAATAAATTTAATTGAATAATTTTTATATAAATAATTATCTGATTCTGTGAGTTTTCCATTTTAGAAATTAGCTATTAAGTTGCACTTTGAATGCCTCAATTTCACTCGCATTAAAACTATTTGTATTATTATTGAGTAAATTGACTTGTTTGTAATAATTATTATTACTACAACCAATATAATTATTATTCATACTTAAACTACCAGATCCAAAATTAAAAATACTATTATTATAATTGCCATTATTATAATTGTTATGAAGAGCATAACTGGAGTTTTGTATACGACAAATGATTGGCTTTTTGATTTCATTAAAATTAAAAGAAAATAAAAAACTTTGAGAATCATTATAATAACCATAACTATAATTGAATCC